TTTGATCTTATTTTTTATTAACATTACTGTCCACTTGGTGAGTAGAAACCCACTCGTTTTGCATATTTCAGTCTTAATTCATACGAACGTTTATAGTTAAATAAATACAGATGAATTTCGAAACAACGGAACTAGTTGACATGATCTTTGTTATGGGATCTGCTGGTCAAAATTGTTTGCTAACGCAAAGAATGTATGCGCAAAAATATCCTGATAGGAGACAACCGTCGGTCAGAAGCTTGGAAAAACTTAAGGAAAGATTTAATGAAACCGGCAATGTCAATTACAAAAAATGTGAAAGGGCTAAAAGAACAAGCGACAACGATCAATTGAATGTTTTGTTGTCTGCAATTTCGGAGCCTTCTACCAGTTCTGCGACATTTTCTTGTAAAGTTCATATTTACTGAGATATCGCACTTTGACGCACTAATGAGCAACCCTGTATAGTGATTCAAATTTTAATCACGAAAATGAAAGTGTTGATAAAACTCTCAAACTGGATAACAAATTTAAAATTTATATAGTAGAATACATTAATCATGTGTTCATCATTTAAGCCCACTATAGCGTCCACTGTTGAACATAGGCCTCCCGCAAACTGTGCCACTCATGCCTATTCTGCGCGACCTGCATCCAATTCGTTCGGATTCTCCTTAAGTCGTCCGTCCATCTCGTCGGGAGTCGTCCTCTACTTCCATAGATATCACATCGTGGTCTCCATTCGATAATTTTTCTAGTCCAACGATCGTCTCGTCCATCAGTTCTCGCAACGTGACCTGCCCAGTTCCATTTTAAAGAGGAAATTTTCTTTACTGCATCCGTAACTCCCGTCCTGCGCCGTATATCTCTGTTATGTATTCTTTCTCTAAGTGATACCCCCAACATCGATCTTTCCATTGCTACTTGTGTTGTTCTTACTTTATTAATCGATTTCTTAGTTAGTGTTAGGGTTTCGGCTCCATACGTCATGACTGGCAGGAGATATTGGTTAAAAAGTTTGCACTTTAAACATATGGGGAGTTCAGACTTAAATGATTCTCTGATGTTGCCAAATGCTGCCCATGTCAAACCTATTCTCCTAAAGATTTCAGAGGTCTGACTATCCCGGTCTATTCGGATTACGTGGCCCAAGTATTTATATGATGTCACTTGTTGTACTTCATTATCACCTAAGGGTATATTGGTGGATACTACTAGATTAGTCATAAATTGAGTTTTTGATATGTTGATTTTTAGCCCAACTTGTCCGGATGCCTGGTGGAGTTTTCCAAGAGATGCTCTGGCATTGTCAATACGGTCTGGGATTAAAACTATATCATCGGAAAACCTGAGGTGGTTGAGGTTTTCACCGTTGACATTAATACCCATATCATTCCAATCTATTCTTTTAGGGGAGATAGTCTAGGGGAGATAGTATCGCCCTGTCGAATTCCACGATTTATATTAAACTTGTCAGTAGCGGTATAAAGTCTAACATGAGCTGTGGCAGTGGCATAGATGTTCTTTATAAGTGCTATATAGCGGTGGTCGATACGGCAATCTGCTAGGGCTAGGAGCATCTCAAGATGGTCTACAGTATCGAACGCTTTTTCATAGTCTACAAAGATCAACACTAGTGGTTTGTTGTATTCAACACACTTTTCTATTAGAGATTGTATTTCTTCGCGCATTGAAAATTGGGACAAAGTGTTATCTTAAGTAATAAGTCTTAATTAAGTAAGTAGTATTTAACTTTCTGATAAAAAAATGTTTCTCCCCTTTACCGCTAGACAGCACTTTACCTGTAATCCAAATTTCATTTTTCGCATATCTTTTTTAAACTTGTCAGTAGCGGTATAAAGTCTAACATGAGCTGTGGCAGTGGCATAGATGTTCTTTATAAGTGCTATATAGCGGTGGTCGATACGGCAATCTGCTAGGGCTAGGAGCATCTCAAGATGGTCTACAGTATCGAACGCTTTTTCATAGTCTACAAAGATCAACACTAGTGGTTTGTTGTATTCAACACACTTTTCTATTAGAGATTGTATTTCTTCGCGCATTGAAAATTGGGACAAAGTGTTATCTTAAGTAATAAGTCTTAATTAAGTAAGTAGTATTTAACTTTCTGATAAAAAAATGTTTCTCCCCTTTACCGCTAGACAGCACTTTACCTGTAATCCAAATTTCATTTTTCGCATATCTTTTTTGGCACGCCAAATATCGCAAAAAGTAATATGCGATTTTAAAGATTAGAAATCGAAGATCTCTTTAAACAGACATCAAAGTTTTTATCACTCTCAACCCAGTGTCTTTGGATTTAATTGCAATCGATCGCGAGCAAATTAAGTCGTCTGGTTTTAAAATGTGCAAAATTTGACAATTTATAATAGTAATTATTGTGGTACTGTTTAATTTAGACTAAATTTTTGTGCTGCATTTGAATGCACACACCATACTATTTGCAGGGAATTGGATTTCGATCACTAAAATTCTACATATATGTTATCATGTCATCGTGATAATAAACGGCTTAGGGTCAACCAGTACACGAATGTCAATCAACCAACACATGAATCTCGAATCTGAAAGATGTATTTTATGTCGCTACATTAATTTTTTATGAATAGTGCAGCACTAAATTAGTTCATACTAACTAGAAACCTGTATTTTCAAAAGAATATAAGTTTGTAATTTGTAACTGACCTACACTGCACTAGATAGCGCGCACTATTCAATGAATGATATTCGAATATTTGTATTCGATAGTTGCAATCATTCATTTAGTAATTATTCGATAGTCGAAATCATTCGATAGTGCCCATCACTTAAATAAATAATGACTAAGAAAAGAACAGGGTTTAACGCTGTCACAACAGAAAAATGGAGGAAATATTCATTTAAAGTATTAACAACGTTAAACGAACATTTTGATTTTGCACATTTGTCAAAAAACATGAGGTTTGCAAAAGTAAATAAAAAATACTAAGAAGAGAATAAAAACTGTGTATAACGGCTTCTTATTTCTATGTAAAATGATGGTGTTTTCATGCAAAATTTCTAAAATACAATAGTTTAAATTTTATAAAAATAGTAGATATATGTATAGATATATTTATCAAAACTGTTTCTAGCACTAGATGTATTGTTTCAGATTGTTTAAATATTATCAAGTTATAAAACTTTCTGGGAAAGTCAACAACACCCTGTAGGATTAATATGTCGGATTACTCAGTGAACTGTGGAAAGTGAAAGCATGTGTGTTTAGAAAATAATTCGGAAGTTTATATTCAGCGGCCGACATTTGTTTAGATCATCACCATTAATAGTGCATCCAGATTCAAATGGTTTTGCCATCCCAACCAATAAACGATATAACGGCCAGTTCATGATGGCAACATATGTGGATTTCTAGATGACCTAATAATGGAATTGACTAATATAAATTGAGGAGATTGGTTGGTTTATTAATTGTGGTTAATAGTGCGACAACACACAATTAACAACGTATTCAAAATGAATTTGCATTTCGAATGTAGATTCTTTAAAAGCCTCAGATATAACAGTCCCAGATTTTCTTTTTTTTAACTACAATACAATATACATTTTTTAAAGAAGGTATATGAAGTAACTAATCACACTATAAATAGTTATATTTTGCACGTAGTATTTGGCACAATCGAGAAAGGTAACAGAAACAGTTGTACTTCAGTAAAGGCGTATCCAGGTGCAAATATCCAATCAAATAATATTCCTTTAATATTCATTTTCACCATCCATCAAAAGGTACAAAAGAAACGAAGAACAGTAAAAATTGCTTCATCTGCAAATTAGCAA